GTGTTCCTGGTTAGTTAGCATTGACCACAGGACCAGAAATCATTGCCATTTCTCTAACTCAGCTACTTTTGGCATCATCACACTGACTGCCTGGTCCCTAATTGGCTAGGACCACTGAAGTGGATATCAGAGCAGAGAAATGGTACTGAATTATTTGCAGTCCAGGGGGAAAAATAGCTGTGAACAATGCTAGGGAACCTCCACCCATAAAAATAAGCAGGTTTGGGGCAATATTTTGAACCCCTCAAAGGCTCATTTGCCCTGAAAATATTTCTAGGCTAACATTTCAACACATCCCTATCTGAAAACTGTATAGCCTTTATATTGCAAGGTGTTCAGTCTAGCTCTTTACTAGAGCTTAATTTTGTCACTGCCTGTGTTGCTATTCCTGCTTGTGTTGACTTGTAAACAGCCTTGTGCCAAGGTGTATAAGCATCATCTGATGAAACCTATTGCAGCAAAACAAGTTTTATATGGCCATAATCTTCTGCTTTATCTGAACAGATAAGAATTGTGACTGCGCTAGCATACCTTCCGATAATATTGTGCAGTTGTAAAAAAACACCAAGCTGTTTTATAAGGCTTTAGCTGGACTCGGGAGCTGCCATTTTGTCAGGGAATCAGGTGATTCCTTCGCAGTGTCGAAATTTTTCAGGCGTGCTTCTAGCCTTTATGATTGAAGAGAAGCTGAGGAATCTGGAAGCATTTCTTTGAAGCCTCAGGAGCAGCTGAAAAACTGGGCAGTGCTTCTAATATGCATATGTTGGTGCTTCAGCTCTGCCTTTCTCCAACCCCTTGAGGCTCTTTATTCTGAAACTTTTAAAGCAACCTTTCGCAGGCAAATTTAAGAAAATCTGAAACACGACGCTTGCTAGTTAAATTGTTTGAATGACCCAAATATTATTTACTTCAGTGTGTTGTGGAATGTCTTCAGCTCAGAGTTGTCACTTTCTTTTTATACCATGCAACAATATTCACTTCTTTCCGGCCTCGTGATTCCTTTATTTTTAATCTCAGTTGTGTAAGTTGTGTCTGCTTCAAGGTTGTACATGTATCCTAAGGCATTGTAAGCAACAATTAACATAGCTGAGGTGAGATTGTAATTTTGGAAGAGATCCCTGTTGTTTCTGTGCTCTTAGAACTATAATTGATTTGTTTAAAACTTAACCCCTGTTTCCTTAAAGGCTTAGGGTGGATAACAGCAATTTTAAAGTTTGAGGAACTCGAATTGCAGGAGCCATGTGACTAAGCTTTGCGGGTAGGTTACCATGTGCCTTTAAACGTGAGTTGTGTGTATGGCTTCTAGCTATATGCTGGCAAGCATAGCAGTTTTGCTTCATGTTCCTCTAGTCTAGTACCTAATTACTTAAAGGCTGGAGCAGATGGGGCTCATCATCTATGAGAAGGAAAACTCTGGTTCCTAAACCTCTGTTGCCTTGAGAGATATCTTTGGGAGAAGAAAATGCTAAGGAGCCTACACCAATCCAGAATGGAGTCCCTAAGACAGCTGGATGGCACCTCGTACACCAGCAACTCCTGCAGCCAAGCTGATACCAAACATATTGCTCGCAGGGGGTTCATGTCAGTGCTGCTAACACAGTGGTTTGTCTTCTTCCCTGGAGGCACACTCTTGAGATCAATGAATGGCAACCACCACTACTACAACAATAGGAGTTGGCACAAAGTATGGCCCACGTACTGAATTACGCTGAAGAGAATCGGAAGAAATTATGAAATAAAAGCAGGTTTCCAATTATTTAGGAAAAATCCTACACACATGCATGTATGCAATGTATGCAAAAAAACAACCTTAACAGAAACAAGACTTGCAAGTTTCCATTTTTAAATAAAAATTGAATGCCTTTAGGATAAAACTCTAGATACCCTGATAATAACTAAGCCCTCTCAAAAAGACAAACAAACAGGACAATGCCTGCTCTGTGTCATGCCACTTCAGTTCCAGAAGTGGCCTGAATTTTTAGGGCTAGATTGTGTATTTTGAAATGAACTCCATATTGCTTCAGTTCCATGTTGAGATTTATTATAGCCAAAAGACATGAGGAAAAGAATGAAAGTGGTGTCAAGCAAGGCCATAGCTCATCCTAGGAAAAAGCATGCCAATGGGGACAAGAGGGAGGTGCAGCTTTGGCAGAAGAACAGCTGTGAGCGCGAACTTGTGAAATGTTGACACAGCAATGAGAAGAGTTGGCCCTGTAGCTTCTCAGGATATGAACTGCATTGATATGCTCTTCCTCTCCATCTGCTGATTTATGCCTCCCGCCTCTTTACCCTGAAACACAAGCACTTGAAGATTGTGTCTGCTATTTCATATATGAGGAATAGGAGAAAGCCAATTTGGAAGAAGTTGTATTAACCATCACCTGTTAATGCTGTCATAAATCTAATTAATTTTGAGGGGAGGAGGAGGTGCCTCAGTTTAACAGCAACATATCCAAAATTCTGTGAGCCCAGTAGTTTTGGGTGGCCTGTTGTAAGATTGAAACTTCACAGTGTAGTCATCTTTATGTGAGAGGAAGAAGAAACTATTATGCATGTGTTGCTTCACTGACTCTTTGAATTGCAGACAAGGGTATAGATTGAAATGCATAATTGAACAGAGATTGTGGTTAATGAAGTTATCTGCATAAGACTTAGCATATTGGGCTGTTTCAGACATTGTCATAAACCATTGTTTTACATGACAGAATTGAGCCACATTGACCCTTATGCTTGTCCCCTCCCCTCTCTCCCTCTGGCACAGTCATATGAATATTTCACTTCTGTTTTTTATTATGATTATTAAGCACAGCTGCTTGTTTTGACCAGCCCAACAAACCATGCTTAATCTTAACTGGTTTTCTGTGCAACAAGCCAAATTTAAGCCATGGTTAAGAAGCTGCCTTGTATTTTTTAAAACAAACCATAGTTAAGGTTAGCCACAATTTAGGGTTTGGATGTTACATAAACTGAGGTCAATCAAAAAATGGAAGTGAAAGCTTCCACTCTCCCCTTTGCAACCCCTGTCAGAGGAGAGGAGTAGTGGATGAGACCACGGTTTATTATGTAACAATAAATCATGGTTTATCATGACATCCAGGATGGCCCAACCAGCATAAGGCACAGTGGCATTCAGATTCTTTGATTTTACTGTGGGAGTCTGAGGTCATGAAATATCACTTGGCCTTAAGAGAGGAGTGACGGGGAGAGATAATGGAATTGCTACACCTCTTCCTAAAAGGGCTCTGGGCAGTTCAAACAGTCCACTCAGTTGTGTGGAGCCCATGCTGTGCAGCAGTGCAGCAGTGCTGCATGTTTTTCTGATAACTTAAATCATACCCATGCAAACCAATTTTGTTCTGGCATTTTAGAGACCACATAGTGAAAATCGCCAAAGTCATGCCACAAATGGCTTGCCTCATTAGACCATGCTCCCTGTGGTTGCGTTCCACTAGTTTTCTGAGTGCAGCCTTAACTGATTGTGGAAATAGCCTCTTAGCTGGGTCAGCAGTTTTGTCCTGATCTTAACTTCGTTTATATCTTCTTTTTCTTCGTCTTCTTGTGTTATAAATTCAACATATGTGCTCATTTTGCTATTGGGTCCTTACCTGCTGGGCAAAAGGCTACTTACAGTTGTCAGGTATATGCATGACATGGGGCAGGTTTTGACATAATTTCATGCATGTGAAGTTCAGTATATTCTCCATTTCTGAAGGCTACCATTGTTTCTGAGGTATACACTAAATACATGCATTCAGTTTTGCTCTTTTTATCAGTAGGTTGACAGTGATTTCTCTGGAATTCAGCAAAAGCAAGGGTGTTTCTTCACTCATGGGGAAGTGTGAGAGTCCTAGTGATGTCAGAGACAGTTTGTTCTGTGAGACACTAGGTGTTATGTGAATATGCAGATGCTGAGGTTGGCCATACAATCCCCACCTTAATATTACCGTAAATCCTCCCTTTAAAGCCCCAGGCTCCTGACATCTTTCTCCCTCATTCCTGAAAGGAAAATCTGAAGGGATTGCAAAATTCCTCTTCAATTCCCTTAAGTAGTTTTGGTTTTAAAGTTTTGTTTTAAGAAAAAAATTATTGGTTCGTTGGCTCCAATCAATGCATATCTCTTGCTGGGATCAATATATGCAATCTACAATGGACCAATAAAAAAGGTTGGAAGTGCAGTGTGTCCCAAAGTAATGCCTACAGAAAGTCGAGATCACCCTTGTTAAAAACTGCTGTACTTGGAGAAATGTTTAAAACACTGAAATGCTTAAGTCGCAGGAATGGGCTCGCTTGCCACAAAATGCCCAAAATAAATATTTAGTGTTCAAATTGGGACAGCAAGTCTGAAAGTTTCTTTGCACTCAGTTCCCTTTCTCAGTTAGCCCTGATAGCATGAAATTCATTTAGGAAATGAGGCAAAGAAAAATAAACTGAAAAGCCTGGTTTCATGGAGGCTTGCCTGAGCACAGCAAGTGTACAAGCACTCCACTGTGCTTGTACTGTTTTCATTTGAACAGCTTTGCCAAAAGACTCCATTCACCATGCTTATGCTCTGGCCTTGATAAGACCCAAAACAACATTGCGTGTTCTTTAAAGCAACACCGAGAAGTCATTCTCAAATTCAGTTTATCTCTTACTGCATTTGAAAACTGGACTATAGACTATCCCAAGTGTTTTTATGACTTCAGAATCTAATACAAAAGATAGCTCTACAGCTTTGAATAGTTACTCTTTTATTTCCAATTACTTCCAAAATCTACAGCTATTAAATACTATAGGGTTTTGAAAAATATTATAAGCTGGGAGGTACTAGATTTTCTTGCCAATCTTAAAATTATCACTGATAAATTGATAAATATGAACATGTGTGAATGGGGTAAAATATATTTCGAAGACTGCATTTTATTTTCGTAATGGAAAAAATATTTTTGTAATGGAAGAATGACTTGTCTTGTTTAACTCTCTGGGTGCATTTTGAGTGACCGCTGTCATTTTTTCTATAGGTGGTATCAGAAGCTGCTGGACAAGGGGTTTCTATTGATGCCAATGACACCTTCAACTACTGGAACTGGCCTAATGCTGTCATCTTTGCTGCTACTGTGATTACAACCATTGGTGAGTATTTGGCTTGCTCTTGCTTTCTGAATATTCTCCTTCTTAAACCTCTGGTGAGCAAAGAATGCATAAGTCCCCCATGACATTGTTGCGAAGAAGATGGTAAAATGCGGGTTGAGTGAGGTAACTGTTAGGTGGATTTGTAGCTGGTTGACTGACCAAACCCAAAGAGTTCTCACTAATGGTTCCACATCATCCTGGAAAAAATAGACAATTTGGGTGACTGAAGGTTCTGTTCTGACCCCATTGGTGTTCAATATCTTTATAAATGACTTGGATGAAGGAATTGAAGGGATGCTCATCATATTTGCAGATGACAGCAAACTGGGAGGGGTAACCAATGGTGCAGAAGACAGAATAGGCATTCAAGAGGACCTTAACCAATTGGAGAACTGGACCTGAACTAACAAAATGAATTTCAGTAGGGACAAATGTCAGGTTTTTCCCTTAGGCAGGGATAACCAGCTGCACAAATATAAGATGGGGAGCACGTGGATTGCCAGCAGTACATGTGAAAAGGAACAAGGGGTCTTAGTAGACCACAAGCTTAACATGAGTCAACAGTGTGACGCAGCAGCAAAAAGAAGAAGCTATTGCTATTCTAGGCTGCATCAGTGGAAGCCACAATCACAGTCATAGTCCTGCTCTATTCTGCCATGGTTAGATCACACCTAGAGTATTGTGTCGAGTTCTGGGTACCACAATTTTGAGTCACAAAAGTGATTCAAAGCGACTAAAATGAGTTGCCACAATCAAACCAATAAAAAGCTTTATGTATTATTTGTGCCTCATTCCCAAGCTAGAGAGAGAATGAAAGAAAACAGTGTTGAAGGGTTTATTTACGCTGCTTTTTGTTTTGCAAAATTTTTCATGTTGTTAAAAAAAATCTTGTAAGATGTAGGAAAACATCAGAGCCACAGTCTGTTTGTTTGTCTTGAGAAAGAACATGCTTAGTGTTAGAAAACATACTGACCAGAGTAGGTGGGCAAGGGGAGGTAGAAACCTTACTGCATAACCAAATAAAGCACTATGTTCAACTTGTTACCATTATTTAAAATAATTTGAAACTTGACATTCTTTCCTCCTCCCGCTGCCCAGAAAAACTTTGTATAAACAGTTCAAGAAAGTAAAAACTGGTTTAAACTTGAATATTCTTATTGACTTACAACAAGGGCTCTGCTCTCCCTAGGTCCTTGTTTGGCGTATTTTCAGCCATGAGGACTGAAAGCATAAGAGAGTTGTTTTTGTCTCCCTCTCTCTTTCAGTGGCAGGTGGCTGAGCAATTTGGTATATGCCATATAGTATTTAATAAAGTTTGGTTTCAGTTTTCGTGGCGTATGTAACCTGTCTGAATCCTGAAACAGAATATCTTCTGATCCCATCTTCATAACAATGTAGAACAGCACAGAACAGAGGTGGTTGCACAGAGCAACAGCTAAGTGAGGTGGCTCCTCCACCAGCATTGCAGATCAATCATGAGATGACAGCCTGGCAAATACAATGTCTTGTTCAGTATTCAGCTGCATGGTTACTGGCTGGCTTCTGAAATTTCACTGTCTATCCACTCATTTTCAAACGTCTTTATTAAGGGCTGAAAACTTTACTTGTTTTAAACCGGAAAGCAAAGAATCTTAGGACTCAGAATTCTGAGGCCAGCTTCTGCGGATGCAATGTGTAATCGCAGAATCTTTAGCCCAGTTCATATCCTATTACTGTTTGCAGTGAGTGCCCATGTGTGTCTGATACGTATATGCAGGCTATGATAATACTGACTCGTGACTTACTAAATGATCATATGTTACACAGTAGAGGCAAGTAAAAATCTTGCAGAACATCAGACCCAAAACTGTCATGTGTGAGCAAGCTCAAAAACTTTCACAGAGAAGAAATTATTATTGTTTGGTGCTCGAAAATGGCATATGTAACTTTTAATACAATGTTCTTTTTCAGGATATGGAAATGTTGCTCCGAAGACTGCAGCTGGACGACTTTTCTGTATATTTTATGGACTCTTTGGTGTTCCTCTCTGCTTAACATGGATCAGTGCTTTGGGGAAGTTTTTTGGAGGACGTGCCAAGAGGCTGGGCCAGTTCCTGACAAAGAGAGGAGTAAGCCTGGTATGAAATGAATTTCTCATTATCTTACTGCCGGCACAGGATGCATGGAACTCTGAAGACCTTTAAAATCAATCTATGAGACAGATGATGCAGAAAACATTTCCTTTATTTTAAAGTAACTCAGATGCAACTGATCACCTTTCCTTACCGATAACAATATTGATGCATGCCAGAACTGTTTGCAGTATAAATTAGTACTGGACAGAATTAAAACCAAGGCAGCTAAGCAGCTTGAAATTTTAGTACAAATTCCTATGCATGAGCTACACAAAAAATTAAAAGGAAAAGGCTATGTATAGGAAAATTACCCATAATTCACATATCAGCATATCAGAAACAATTTTAGATGATTGGGGATGTGAATTTCCCACCTTGGTAGCTATTCCCAGCTTTCCATTCTGCCCCAACTTCCCTTCTTTCCTCTGTTCCCTACTTTCTTGGTCCATCCTATAGTCCTAAGACTGTCCATACATTGCAGCTAGAATACATTGCTCAGATATGCAGCTAGAATATATTGCCCAGATTTTTCACGTAAATTCTAAATAAGGGCCAATAAGAAAGAGTGCAGAGCCAGAACTGTCACTGGCTTCCTGCTGTTGCTTAGCAAAGAATCCGAAGGGGTGGCATATGCTTCAGAATGTAAAAGGTTGGAACCCTGTCCAGATCTGTTAAAATAATATTTCCTTGCCCTTTGTACCATCATCATGTCTCACAGTATTTCTGTACTCTTCTGTTTCCCTCTAAATTCCCTGTTTTGAGGGGCTCGGGCTTATCTTAGTTGAAATACATTATGCTCTTGTAGGATTGAGCAATCCCATCTTTCTGCTAGATGGGGTTTCTTTTGGTTTGTTTGTTTCCCTCTTTCTTGGGTGCTGGGTGAATCTTCATTGGCTAGAAAGAACTTGCTAATGGTTTAAACTTCATCACATTGTGTCATATACTTTTATTACAACACAGGTTTTGCACCGTGTATTTGCCATGCCTTTTTTTGCTCTGCTGAGGTATTTATGTAAAAGAACCTCCATCTCAAAAAATGTACAAGTTAGAAACTTGAGAGAGAATGGTAGTTACTAAGAGGTTTCTCTGATTTAACTGTTAAACTGTGGGGCAGGTTCCACACAAAGCAAAAATGCTATGGAAAAATCCATGGTGTGATGGTTTTATGCCAAGATGCTTCTTGCTTTACCAGCAAGAAAACAAAAGAAGAAGAAGAAAACATGTCTGGAAATAACCAAAAATTCAAATGAACCTGCATTTTACTCATTTACTTCCTATATTTACTTCCTTCAGTTTGGCTGCAGTTGCTACATTCTTGGCACAGGATAGACGGTTGTTGTGGTTTTGTTTCGTTAATGCAAAATGCACAGGAAGAGAACAAAATGATTTATCTTTATCTCCCCCCCCCTTTCATTTATTGCAGAGAAAAGCACAAATTACATGCACTGCTATTTTCATCCTTTGGGGAGTCCTGATCCACCTGGTTCTTCCTCCCTTTGTCTTTATGGTGACTGAAGGCTGGGATTATATTGAAGGTCTCTACTTCTCATTCATCACTATTACCACCATAGGATTTGGAGACTACGTTGCTGGTCAGTAACAATTCATGACACCCTGGCAGCTAATTAACATTAATACTTTGCAGGTTTGCAGCACTTCTTAACACAACCGCCAACCGCAAAGTCAATGTGCGGAGTTGCAAGAGTGATTTCCTATATAAGTGACCACTTTTTATTGGCATTGGAATTGCCAGTTCTGCAAAGAAGAAAAATCACGCGGGCTGTCATGTGGGTGGTTCTTGGTTCATGCACAACTGACATAAACAATCAGATTACATGTAAGCATTGGAAGGGCAAATTATTAAACTGAGAACAGCAGTTGCAGTCTTTCTTTCTTTTTTATCCCACAAGCAAGCGTATCTCATTGTGTGGTGACACATTGAGGGCCGCCTTTGTCAAGGTACTCTGAATGCATGATCTTTTCCCCCTTGAGGCACTGGCAGCTCTTACATTACTGGGATCCCACCCCATTTAAAGAAGTATAGGCTCAGCCACGTGTTTGGCATTATGTTACTGTGTGAGGCTCAGTATTACTTGAAGCATTGCTGCTGTGTATGGTTATGGTGCCATATTTGGTTCTATTGTAATGTTTGCTTTAATGGATTGCTCTTGTAAGCATTTTATTGGTCGTGTTTTGGGATTTGACTGACATTTTGCAAACCACCTGCTTTGTGAACTGAACAAATAAAATAAATAATACTGGTGTGAGGAAGAATTTCACCCTGATCAGGGATAGTAAAACACTGACCACAGCACTAACCCTTTGGTAATGCTACCACCACTCTTCCACTAAGCTAGTGAGATGCAGGGACTCTCCAATTCCTTCAGTTGTTTAATTTGGAAAATAAGGAAACAGCCAGCAGACCCACTTCAATCACGCTGGGCGTAAAGTCCATCCATCCCCTCTTTCTTCCCAATGTACCCACTCAGTAGCTTGAGGGCAAGTATTTAGACATAAGGGGCAGGTACAAATGAGTGGTCACAAATGCATGCCAAATCCCAAAAGCCATTTTATAGATACTTTTATTAAGAATAATAATTTAGACACTCTGCCTAGAAGGTTTCTGAATGACAGGTTGCTTCAGATAGCCAACCAGTAGGTCTGAAAGAAAGGCACCATTAACGCCTATTAGGGCTAGAAACTGGGCAGCCAATGTGTTATGTGATGAGGAGATTGCCTAGGTACTCATTGACAGACAAGATCCTGTACAAAGAAGGCTCCAGCTATGGAAACATCTGTCAGCATATATGTGGTTATTGGAATTTAAATATGTGACAAGTCTTTTTAATCTTGGACACTCGAAGTCTGCAGAACAGACTGTTGAGTTTTGGCACAAAGGCTGACCCTGATCCCAAAGTACCATATGACTATTTTAAGTTATGAGAGGTACTACAAATTAGACCCTACAATTAGTTGTTCACATTTTTAAAAATCTCCTTTTTAATGGGTTGCAAGCACAACTTGCCTGTGTTTCTTGTGAAACATGAAAATGTCAATCTAATGTTAAGGCATGTATGCATGGTCCTATAATTTTGTTTTTTGTTTTTTCCCCTTTCAGGTGTGAATCCAAATATGACCTACCATTCACTCTACAGATACTTTGTGGAGCTGTGGATCTACCTAGGCTTAGCATGGCTTTCTCTCTTTGTTAACTGGAAGGTCAGCATGTTTGTTGAGGTCCACAAAGCAATCAAGAAACGAAGGAAAAAAAGGAAGGAGTCCTTTGAGACCCACCCTCCTACAAAAAAAGCTCTTCAGATGTCTAACCCAAAAGATGTGAACATTTTCAGCTTCCTTTCCAAGAAGCAAGAGACTTACAATGATCTCATCAAGCAGATTGGAAAGAAGGGTCTGAAAACAAGCAATGACAAAATCCTAAATGGAGAGCCAGTGAAGCCAGCCTTGCAACATTCTAGCCAAGATGTCAAAGTGATGTACACAAGGAGCAAGTTATTTGACTATGATGAGGTTTCTCTGGGACTCCAGAACTTTCATGTTATGAGGCATCTAACTGATAGGCGTATTGGGGAGAGCCCAATTGAGGGCAGTGGGTTTGTAAATCAACTGGATCGGATCAGTGAGGAAGAAGGAGAAGCATGGGACTCCAGGGACTATCGACCCCTGATCTTTGAAAATGCCAATATAACTTTTGTAAATGAAGATGAGGATGAAGAGGATATTTCAGATGATGAAGAAACTTCAAAGTCGTCTATGGATGACAATCTTGCAGAGGAACCAGAGTCTCCAAAAAAACTGGTGACATTTTCATCCTCTGATGAATCTACGTTTACCAATAATGATTTAGAGATATCTGTGCCTTATGAGCAGCTAATGAATGAATACAACATAGTGAATACTGCAAAAGCTGCAACGTGAACAACAGCTTTTTCTTTTTTGTTACTGGCTTCCTGAAGATCATTTAACACAGATTTGAGCAGATGAACATGCATGAGGAGGAAAAAGAGGAAGGTGTACCATGTTTGGCATTTTCTACGGCCACCACCTCCTTGCATTAGCATACTGAAAGCGTTCAACAGCTGGATGTTATCTCTAGTTGTTTGTTACTCAGTTTGATTACTCACTGTGAAGTGACAATTCTAAAAACTTGAGGGTTCCTTTTCCCTTTGGGGAGTTGGTCGTGCTTGAAGTTAGGAAGAAAAGCCTAGAGTTATTGGGCCTATTCAGTATTTGATGAAGAATGACGTTCTGATTTTGAAATCAGACTGGTTTGGATTGATTATATGTATGACATGGCTGGTTACTGCACTAACTCTTAATTTCTGAAAAACTGAATTCAGATCACATCTAGGCTCAGAGTGGAAAGTGTTGATTGTTTCATGCAAGCTCAAAATCGCACAATGAAGCTCTCTTTCCATTCTCCTTCAAAGGGATGCTTTGAACCAGAAGGGCTGAGTATCTAAAGGTCAGAGTTGAGATACATTGGCAGTCCTGACTAGGGAACTTGAACAATAACTGTTCAAGTTATGCCAGTTCTGCTGAGTCATGAGCTGAAGGTCCATGAATAAAAGCACTAACTTAGACACAGAACCAATTTTATGGAGACATTATATCTTCTATTGTACAAGAAACTATCTGCAGTTAAACCTGGTTATAATGAAAAGTACATATGACTAATATTTAAAATTTAGTAACAGATTGGTGCGAGGAGATTGCAGATGGCAGATTTAAAATGAAGAAAAGCACAGTGGCAAACAGTTTTGCATCAGAAGTGCCCTTCCATTGTCCATAGTCTACAGAAAATACTTGAATTTCATGTGCTCGTGTCTCCTAAGTGAAGTTTGGTGACACTGCCCTTTTGAATGACTGGTTTTTAGATATATAAAAAATGCAAAACACAGCCTGAATACCTTGATGTTTGTCTGAACAGCCAAAGAGCTGCTTTGTTATATTCATTGTCTCTCTGATTCTAAAACATTCCATTTTTCTCCACTCCATGTGATACTTTAGAGTTGATGCATATTTGTTATGGGCACACAATGTTGTTGGTTTTTCATATATTTCTGCTGTATTTCAACTGCTTTCTAAGTAAAATGAAAATGTTAACTAGCATTTGGGGAGAGTATGAGAAGACTTATAAAAGCAGCCGAAGCTGGATATCATGGCAAAGGGCTTTATCTGATAATTGGCTTTTTCATGGCGGAGAAATAACTAACTCAGTGGTTGGTATTCCTTTTTAAATTGCATTATAAATCTTCGGAGCAGAGTTACAATGGTGAACAATCTAAGCAAGTGTTCTAGCCTAAGTGTTCTAGATCACAGTCCTAGAGATGTTTGAGGATCAGGTTGTGAGTCACTCCAGTGTAGATTTTAATTGTACTTCCTCCTGTTTTGATCTGAAATGGAAGAATTAGTGGATGATGAAAATCTTGGAGGGAGGATTTTTGAATCTGACATGGTAAGAAGGGCCAAGTGGAATTTTTGCAGTGCTGATCTTGAATGATTAGATATACTCAAACTTCTCTTTTTGACTATTGTTTGGCTTCTGAAGGGTGGGGAAGAGGTGTGTCGTATTCCCTTTTTAGAAAATGTCTGCAGAAGGACAGCTCAAAGGCATTAGCTGCAAAAGATGGTCTGTTCATTTCTGTTTGGAAATGTGTACTGTATATACAAGGAAGGTTGCAAGAGGAGAAAAGAAATAAGAAGGAACCCAAAACATCTATTTTCTCACACTTTTCTAGACAGGAAATTGTTCAATTGGATTTGCCAGTGTTATCTTATGCATTACGTAATGTATAGCTGAAATAAGGCCAGGAGGCTAGTGATGTTTCTCTTAGAGGCTTTGTGGCTACTTTTTAATAGTTAGACTGACCCTTTGCAGGCATGACTTATTTTTCCTCTGTAAAACAAACATTTGGCATCAAACAGTTTCACAACTCAAAAAATGTTGCCCTGCTGTTTTTATCAGTGACAGTGTTCCTCATATTAATAGCAGTTAATACACTAAGTACTGAACTGTGTCCCATTTTTGTTACAGAAGTGCAAATCATTTTTATGAAAATAACTTCATAATGTTGACATTGCAATCTGTTGTGTCTTCCATGAATGAATGACTTAAAGGTTTCTCTCTGTACTAAAAGAGGTACAGAACGGTGCACACTTCTTTTAGTGTCAAGATCAGTATAGGAACAGCCAAGAAACAACGTATAATTCCCTTGAAACATTACGTCTTCTTGGTGTGACTGTCGTGTTGTTTAGTGCATAGGCAGGCAGAAACAAAATGATAGGAACTTGAAGCTGAAGTCTCCATCTTAAGGCTCACCTGTACATCTACAGGTGAGCTTGTGTGTCCTGATGAAAACATAGGTTAGGTACTGCTCTTTAGATGTGATTAACACCTTCCTAGGAAATATTCTGCATTTTAGGAACTTTACCCACTTCCAAGGAAACCTTATCCTTGTTTTAAGTGAAGACATATTTGATAGATACAAAGACTTCAGTGTTCTGCCTAGTGCCTGGTTAAAATCAAAGTGGACATGTGAGAAACAGCTGGATCATCTGGTAGAATCTTACCTCTCAACAAATCCACCATGTGCCTTGCAGCGGGGGTTTTTTGGTCATAAAGTGGCCAGCCCAAAAGGCTATATGCATAACTTACTGGATCATGGTTTTTAGCTGCTGAAAGCTATTCATTTGCCCTTCACTGTTCTATGATTCTACCGGTTAGTTGTTGGTTTCTTTCTTTACCTAGCATTCATTAAACAATGGAGTCACCTTAGACCTACCAGAGGACTGGTTTGCCTTAGCACTCTCCTGGTCTGAAGTGCTGTCTTCCATGTTTAGTGGAGCTTCAGTCTTTTCAGTCTAAGTCCCTTTGAAGTGCCTTTGACTAGCTTGAATTCTCAGCCAAGTATTGAGAAGGATTTCCATAATGTGAAAATAAGCGAAAGTGTTAGGTTTGGAAACTTCTTCTCCTCCTCCGGCCTGAGAGCGGGGAATCTCCACTTTATGTTCATGTTATAGGTGTTTATGGAAGGGATTTTTATTTTTTTAAAGATAGCTGCTAACCTTCAAAAGCACCAGGGCATCAATCTTATGCATGTGTTTCAGTAGGGAAAGGGAGGAGTCTCCTTTCCACCTATCTCTACTAAGCTGTGGATCATGAAACCTTGGTACTGCTGCTTTACCTTTCACCCCACCGCTACTGTTGTCACTGGGCTCAGAACAACCCAGAATGCTGGCAATAGCTGCTAAGCTTCATAGTGTTATTGAAAGGAAATACAGTTCCATAAATTGGACTAAACAACCCACCAACTCTCCTTCTTTTTCCTTAACAGTGTATAGCAGTAGTTTTCAACCAGTGTGCCTTGAATGGTGGTCAGGGGTGCCGTGGGCAACACTAGCCTCTGCCCCTCTTTCTTTCCCTCCCTTCCTCTGATGCCCTCTTGCATCTCTGCATCCCAAAGACCTTACACAGCTGTTTATTGCAGCAGCTCTGGCTATAAGTTCTGTGAGCGAATGGTGCCTTTGGGAAGCACCTCTCTTTGGGGCGGGCAGCTCATACACCAGGAACGGTGCTGCCCGGATGACTCCCAAGGAGAGAGGGAAAGAGAGGAAGCTGAGGGAACACCCCACAAGGGAGGGTGTTCAAAAAAAGGGGGAGAGGCTGCCAGCGCTACACACAAGGGGTGACACTACTGGACTCCTGAGTCCCACAGGGGTGCCGCAGAAAGAATGTAGTTGGTCAAGGGAGCCGTGGACAACAAAAGGCTGAAAACCTCTGGTGTAGATGATATTCTCATGACCAGAATTAGCCAAACATTGGGGTCATTCCTGGGACTGAGATTGGGTATTCAACTACCGTATCTTATAGTAGGGTGGCAACTGGGTGAAAATTTGCTCTGAAAAATACAGGAGAAGCTTTTCAACCCACCCACCAGATTGATGTTTGATTGATATGCATTTCCACTGCAAAACTGCCCCATAGATAGTGTAAATGAGTATATCGCTCTAGCTTTTCTTTTAAAGGGGGCCACTAAATGAAGCTCTGAAACACTTGCCTACACAACTGTTATGAATTTAATACAGTGGTATGAAACTTTTAAGCAAAATTTTCTATTGGTTCTTCTTAATATGAATACATTGTTGACTCCATTGCTGGCAATGGGTGTTTCAAAACATATAAACTAAAGTTTTCTGCCATGAGCATAATCTGATTCTCCCCTTATTTTATTGATACGGTACAAGTGAAAATGTACTAGTATCTTCTCTGGAAAAAGTATTATGTATCCCTGCTGATTTTAAAAGTTGCCTAGAGCCTTTAGTTTTCATGCTTTCTATGCTGCACTGAATTTTAAAATGAGGGTCTCCATTTTCATATGCTTCTGGAAGTGTGCACAGACCTAATGATCTCATCTCTCACTCCATCACATGAATAGACACAATTCCTGTTTCAGTCTGTACTTTTGTTTGCTGATTTGTGTCACTGGAATCACTGTATGTACATATTAGACTTTGTATAATGTAATTTATTTTAACTCTTTTTCAATAAAAAGTGATTATTATTTTTAAAAAAGAAGTTTTTCTTTCTCACACTTAATGGAAATTGGCAAAAGGAAATGACATACTAGACTGAATTCAAGAAAGTTGTAGTGGGAAAACATACTGTGTGGTACTCAACTGAGTTTTACTCAAGGGAGTAGGCCTGCTGAAATTAACATGATTAATACAGTGGATCTGCTTAGAGTAGATATTAGTTAACACCACTCAATAAAATAGACAGATTTTATTGAAGATATTGAAGAACTCCTATAGTGGGGTTGAAATGGGTATTCAAGGTCTAGGCACATTATCTTTATTTTAAAGTCATTCCTAAGACACTACTTTTTCCTAAGACATCAGGAGATAGACTTTCAACTTAACTTTAAAAGGAGCCACTTTAAGTTTCAGAAACCAGGTGTGATACATTCAAGAAGCCTTGAGAATAAGCTCAGATCCATGTTGCTCCTAAAAATAGGACAATTGTGGTTTTTGTTGGGCATAAACATAGTTTAAGCCAGTGTTTCCCAACCGGTGTTCCGCGGCACACTACTGTGCCGTGAGACATCGGCTGGTGTGCCGTGGGAGGGAGGCGGGCGAGAGGCGGCGGCGGCGAGGATCCGGCGGGGGTGGGGGGAGCGGGGGCCGTCGCGCGCAACCGAACTCACTTGGCGCGCTGCCGGCTTGTCCTCCTTCAACCCGGGTCGGGCCAGGCCTGCTCACGTCCCCGGATCCCCTAGCAGCAGCCGCACGCTCTCCAAAAGCGCAACGCTGCGCGCAACCGCTCGGCCAGCTGGTGCTCTGCGACTCCGCCCTTTCCCCTCCCAGCGCCGGAGGGTTCGCGCGACCGCAGCTGTTCCCTTTCGCAGCGCGCGGGAAACAATTCCAGGCCGATTGCCTTGTGCCGAAAAGCACCGCCTCTCCTTCCAGCTCAGGCCCGGGCCGCCGGCTCCCCGAATGACGTCACGGGGGCGGGGCTTTAATGGTGGTGTGCCGCGAGATTTTTTTTCCGGTAAACAGGTGTGCCGTTGCCCAAAAACGTTTGGGAAACACTGGTTTAAGCATTTTAAAAAATAAATAGGTGGAGTGTGTTCCTTTAAAACTCATTCACCATCACTTGAGATGATAAAGTCATTGGAGACCTGTAGTGTTAGCAGCTAACAGTTGCATTAGCTGCTTGGTTTTATTGTAGAGAGATGGGATACCACCTTTTAATGGCTTTTTTCCCCAGGTAGAAAGAAAGCTTTGTTTTACACCTCTCTCCAGTGGAGGTAAAGGTAAAGACAAATGATCAGAGAGTTGCATTAAAGGAAACCACATGTTTTTATGTCATGTCACTAACCCATTCTGATCTTGACTAACCAACTAGCCTGCGAGGTTGGTGCAACCTTAATCAAGGAAATGCTGCAGGTTTTTTTGCCTCTTTGCGATTATATACTGGGATGACTGCTCTGAACAAGCAAAAGCAACCTACACTGGGATCAGAAGAGCCTGCATGCCTTGCTCCTGATAGCCGGTTTATGGCCTCATGCCCCACTGATTACATCTCTTTGTACTGCTCAGTCAGTTTCTGGGTGTGTAAGGAAACACTGCTTTCTAGTGATAATTAAAAGGAAGCCATTACCCTTGTATCGGCTGAGTATTGTTTTGTGTTGATTGTGGCAAGGATGCACTGCTGAGCCTGATGAAGAGACAGTGCAGTGTAGTCGTCAAAGAGTAAGGCTAGGACTAAAGGCAGCTGGGTTCAAATGCCCACTTAGCCACAGGATGACCTTAGATTAGTAACAGGGGTCAGCAAACTTTTTCAGCAGGGGGCCAGTCCACTGTCCCTCAGACCTTGTGGGGGGCCAGACTATATGTTTTTTTTGGGGAAATGAATGAATTATTATGCCCCACAAATAACCCAGAGATGCATTTTAAATAAAAGCACACATTCTACTCATGTAAAAACACGCTGATTCCCAGACCGTCCACAGGCTGGATTTAGAAGGCGATTGAGCCGGATCCGGCCCCTGGCCTTAGTTTGCCTACCCATGGATTAGTTACTATGTACCCAATGCCTAAGGAACATGAAAGCTAAACAGGTAATTGCCACTCAGAAATCAAGTGACTTTTTAAATTGATGGGTAAAGCTGAGACAGCAGGGCCCATGGTTGGGGATGGTGGGGACTACAGTCAAATATCTGTAGGACCATAGCTTTTCCATCCTGGTATATACAAGCCAAGGGTGCGGGTGGCTCTGTGGCCTAAACCACTGAGCCTCTTGGGCTTGCTGATCGAAAGGTCAGCGGTTCGAATCCCCATGACAGGGTGAGCTCCCATTGCTCTGACCCAGCTTCTGCCAACCTAGCAGTTCAAAAGCGCACCAGTGCAAGTAGATAAATAGGTATCACGGTGGTGGGAAGATAAATGGTGTTTCCATGCACAGAAGTGGTTTAGTCAAGCTGACCACATGATCTGGAAAGCTGTCTATGAACAAATGCCAGCTCCTTCCTCCTCCTCCTCCTAAAAAGCGAGATGGGTACCGCACCCCATAGTCGCCTTTGACTGGACTTAACCATACAGGGATCCTTTTACCTTTATATACAAGCCATATTGACCAGTGTTTCTCACAGGAAGCTGACATCTTATTATCTGAGAGGGGGCGGGAATTGGCATCCTAAAGTATGTGGAAAATGGCACACCCACTGCTGATCTTCATTAAGCATGTTCAACATAACAAGGTGATAAAAGATGGCATTTATTTTCCCATTCTAGCAACTTGCTGCTATAGTGAGGATGTTGCATGAATCATGAGGAGCTATGAGAAGGCAAAGACAGATGATGGTACACAGTCATGTTCCCAAGAGTCTCCTACATAGGTGACCATACAACACTGCTCCTCAATTGCTGTCTGCATGTTTTGCTTCCTATAATTATACTGTCATAGGGCCCACAATGAGATATTATATCACAGAATAAAGAGAACTTCATTTCTTGGAACAAGAGAACACACGGATGTCATGGGAATGCTGCCCAAAATAAGTAGCCCTGTGGTTTTACACCAGACTTTTCCAGCAAAATGTAGAGCGACTTGCTGGTTGGATTGCCACCATTATGTGGAGAATCTCCAGGTCAATGTAACAGCCAACCAACAGCAAAACTAACAGCCAACAAGAAAGTCCAGTTGAGGTGCAAAAGATGCACCACAGATACGCTGAAGTAAATGTTGCACCTGCAAGAAATATGCCATCCCCGTGGAGGGTTCATTATTCCTATTGTGCTTCACTGGTGGGGAATAGTGAGCCCTCTGTGGGTATGGCATATTTCTTGCAGGTGTAACATTTACTTCAAATATTCCACCAAGAGATGGGGAACCTGCAGCTCTCTAGATGTTGTTGGACTCCCAGCTCCCACCGGCATCAGCCAGAATGGCCAATGTTCAGGGATCTTGGTAATCATAATCCAACAACATCTAGAGGGTAGTAATAAAAATTAATTGGACAGAACTTCTAGAGGCCTGGCCCCCATC